TTTTTAAAAGAATATTTTTTAAGTTTGTACTATGCACATATAGTTAAAAACAATGACACCCCTGAGGCGGGGCCAGTTTTGACCCCGGGTCTTTTATTTGAACATACTTTGTAGCCACTTACTAGAAGATGTTTCATGCTTAATATCTAAACTCTAGCTATTTGGGTTTTTTCAAAAAAGATTTTTTAAGTTTTTGCTATACACATATATATACACGGGGCGGGTTCAATTTTGACCCCAGGGCTTTTATTTTAACAAACTTGGTAGACACCCATTAGAATATGTTTCATGCTAAATATCTTAGCTCTAGCTCTTTGAGTTCTTTAAAAGAAGATTTTTAAGTTTTTACTATCATAATGCATATAGGGAAAATCAATGACCCCCTGGGGCGGGGCCAATTTTGACCCTAGGGCTTATATTTGAACAAACTTGGTAGACACTAACTAGAAGATGTTTCATGCTTAATATCTAAATTCTAGCTATCTGGGTTTTTTCAAAGAAGATTTTAAGTTTTTGCTATACACTGTCATATAAGGAAAATCAATGACCCCCGGGGCGGGGCCAATTTTGACCCCAGGGCTTTTATTTGAACAAACTTGGTAAACACCCATTAGAACATGTTTTATGCTAAATATCTTAGCTCTAGCTCTTTGAGTTCTTTAAAAGAAGAAAGACCCCCTGGGGTGGGGCCAATTTTGACCCAAGGGCTTTTATTTGTACAATTTTGGTAGACACTTACTATAAGATGTTTCATGCTTAATATCTAAACTCACTAGAAGATGTTTCATGCTTAATATCTAAACTCCAGCTATTTGGGTTTTTTCAAAGAAGATTTTTTAAGTTTTTGCTTTACACATATAAGGAAAATCAATGACCCCCGGGGCGGGGTCAATTTTGACCCCAGGGCTTTTATTTGTTCACCCATTAGAACATGTTTCATGCTAAATATCTTAGCTCTAGCTCTTTGAGTTCTTTAAAAGAAGATTTTTTAAGTTTTTACTATATGCATATAGGGAAAATCAAAGACCCCCTGGGGTGGGGCCAATTTTGACCCAAGGGCTTTTATTTGAACAATTTTGGTAGACACTTACTAGAAGATGTTTCATGCTTAATATCTAAACTCTAGCTATATGGGTTTTTTCAAAGAAGATTTTTAAGTTTTTGCTATACACATATAAGGAAAATCAATGACCCCCGGGGCGGGGCCAATTTTGACCCTAGGGCTTTTATTTGAACAAACTTGGTAGACACCCATTAGAACATGTTTCATGCTAAATATCTTAGCTCTAGCTCTTTGGGTTCTTTTAAAGAAGATTTTTAAGTTTTTACTATATGCATATAAGGAAAATCAATGACCCCCTGAGGCGGGGCCAATTTTGACCCTAGGGCTTTTATTTGAACAAACTTGGTAGACACTCATTAGAAAATGTTTCATGCTAAATATCTTAGATCTAGCTCTTTGGGTTCTTTAAAAGAAGATTTTTAAGTTTTTACTATATGCATATAGGGAAAATCAAAGACCCCCTTGGGAGCGGCAAATTTTGACCCAAGGGCTTTTATTTGAACAAACTTAGTAGACACTCACTAGAAGATGTTTTCTAAACTCTAGCTACTTGGGTTTTTTCAAAGAAGATTTTTAAGTTTTTGCTATACACATATAAGGAAAATCAATGACCCCCGGGGCGGGGCCAATTATGACCCCAGGGCTTTTATTTGAACAAACTTTGTAGACACTCACGAGAAGATGTTTCATGCTTAATATCTAAACTCCAGCTATTTGGGTTTTTTTCAAAGAAGATTTTTTAAGTTTTGCTATACACATATAAGGAAAATCAATGACCCCCTGGGGCGGGGTCAATTTTGACCCCAGGGCTTTTATTTGTTCACCCATTAGAACATGTTTCATAATAAATGTCTTAGCTCGAACTCTTTGAGTTCTTTAAAAGAAGATTTTTTTTAAGTTTTTACTATATGCATATAGGGAAAATCAAAGACCCCCTGGGGTGGGGCCAATTTTGACCCAAGGGCTTTTATTTGAACAATTTTGGTAGACACACACTAGAAGATGTTTCATGCTTAATATCTAAACTCCAGCTATTTGGTTTTTTTCAAGGAAGATTTTTTAAGTTTTTGCTATACACATATAAGGAAAATCAATGACCCCCGGGGCGGGGCCAATTTTGACCCCAGGGCTTTTATTTGAATAAACTTGGTAGACACCCATTAGAACATGTTTCATGCTAAATATCTTAGCTCTAGCTCTTTGAGTTTTTTAAAAGAAGATTTTTTAAGTTTTTACTATATGCATATAGGGAAAATCAATGACCCCCTAGGGCGTGGCCAATTTTTACCCCAGGGCTTTTATTTGAACAAACTTGGTAAACACTCATTAGAAGATGTTTCATGCCAAATATCTAAGCTCTAGCTCTTAGGGTTTTTTAAAAGAAGATTTTTTAAATTGTTCCTATTGGTTGCCATGGCAACCAGAGTTTTTAATGGAATTTAAATTCTTGAACAACTTTGAAAGGGGTCCACCTAAGGATCACTTCTGTAAAGTTTGGTTGCAATTGGCCATGTGGTTTAGGAGGAGATGTTGTTTGAAAAGTTTGACGCCATTTTTGAAGGACGCACGACGCACACCGCACGACGCATGACGGACGCAGAGTGATGACAAAAGCTCACCCTTGAGCACTTTGTGCTCAGGTGAGCTAAAAATGCTATGCCACCGCATGAATACAACACTAAATAGTAGGGTAGGAATAGATTCTTTTTGTTTCTACACATTTGAAGATTGCCATTATGCGTAGATCCCTGACCTATCTAATTCTTATTATCATATAAGTGGTTAATCTGTAAAGCAAATTAAAGATCAGAGTAGCAATCTATCAATGCAGTTGAGTCTAGTTAATTTGGTATTGAATGTCATACTTCACATGGCCTATATTTCAGGACTGTAAATCAAAGGAAAACACAGTTAGACACTTTGTGAAAATCTAGGTCAGCAGATATCAAAGTTTATTTTACGCCCACATGGTTTAAATTTCATAGCTGTACATCAAAGGACAAGAAAGTAGGTCACATCATCAAAATCTAGGTCACCTGATATTAAAGTTCAATTTTACAACTAAAACTGTGCACATGGTCCGAATTTCATGGTTGTACATCAAAGGACATGAAGGTAGATCACTGTCCCCTCAGGCAAGGCAAAATTTTGATTCAAACAATCTTTATATAGATCCACCAAACAATGTTTCATGTCAAATATCTAAGCTGTAGCTGTCTATAAGTCAGAAAACATTTGTTTTAGTTTCTGTTTTTACTACGTGTACATAATGAAAATCAATGCCCCCCTAGGCAGGGCTAATTTGACACCAGGAGCAAAATTTGAACAAATTTGGTAGAGGACCTATAGATGATATCATATAGCAAACATCAAAGCTCTAAGCCTTGTAACTTCAGACAAGAAGATTTTCAAATTTTTTACTATATGTAAATAGTCAAAATCAATGACCGCCGGGGCGAGACCGATTTTGACCAGAGGCTATAATTCGAACAATCTTGGTAGAGGTTCACTACGTAAATTCTCATGCCAAATATCTAACCTCTGGCCTTTGCCAATTCAGATAAGATGATTTTTTTAAGTTTTTACTATAAACATATAATTATGAAAAACTATCGCCTCTGAGGCAGGGCAATTTTAACACTATGACATAATTAAAACAACTTTGGTACAGGACCTATAGATGATATTATATACTAAATATCAAAGCTCTAAGCCTTGTACCTTAAGACAAGAAGATTTAACGTTTTTTAATAAAAATACATTGTGAAAATCAATGGCCCCGGGGCGGGACCAATTTTGACCCCAGGGCTATAATTTGAACAATCTTGCTAGAGGGTCACTACACAATGTTTCATGCAAAATATCTAACCTCTGGCCTTTGTCAATTTAGAAAAGATTATGTTTTTAAAGTTTTTACATATAAGGAAAACCTATGACCCCCGGGGGTAGGGCTAATTTTGATTCTAGAGGCAAATTTTGAACAACTTTAGTAGAGTTCCTATAGATGATACTATAAGCCAAATATCAAAGCTCTAAGCATTGTACCTTTAGACAAGAATAATTTCAATTTATTTACTATATGTACATGTAGAGAACATCAATGACCCCCGGGGCGGGGCAAATTTTGACCCAAGGGCTAAATTTTGAACAAATTTTGTAGAGGTTTACTTCACAATGTTTCATGCAAAATATCTCACCTCTAGCATTTGTCAATTTTGAAAAGATGATATTTTAAAGTTTTACCATATACATATACATGTTATTAAAACTTATGACCCCCAAGGCGGAGCTAATTTTGACACTAGAGGCAAAATTTGAACAACTTAGGTAAAGTACCTATATATGACATCATATAGTGTACCAAATATCAAAGCTTTAAGCCTTGTACTTTCAGACAAGAAGGTATTTTAAGTTTTACCTATATGTACATACAGTGAAAATCAATGACCCCCCCGGGGCGGAACAAATTTTCACCCCAGGGTTATAATTTGAACAATCTTGGTAGAGGTCTACCAGACAATGCCTTATACAAAATATCTATGCCTTGTGGGTCTTTACATATTGAATATTTTTACAATTTATTCCTATAATTCCTTTTGGTTACCCTGGAAACCAGATTTCTGCATGGAATTAAAGTCTTTGAACAACTTTGAAAGCCCTTTATCCAAGGATCAATCCTGCCAAGTTTGGTTGAAATTGGACAATGGGATTTTTCACAAGATGATTTTTTAAGTTCACTGAATAATCTATAATGTATAAACACACATACAAACACGCACACGCACACGCACACGCACACGCACACGCACACACACACACACACACACACACACACACACACACACACACAGGTGAATCGCAATATAAAATATATATATATTTTATGCCACCGCATCTCAGCTGCTGCGGTGGCATAAAAAAAACGATACAAAAATCCGGAAAAAAACCCAAAAAAACAAATTAAACAAAAAAGAGACAACAACAAAAACACAATCAGCGTAAAGATATTGTTCGTCATTTATGGCCTCGGTACGCACGTACCGCTTACACGTCTTATTTTCAAGTCTCATTCTCAAAGAATGCGATTTTTATTACCAAGACCAAAGAATAGACAGGACCTGAATGGTAACGTGGAAATAATTCTCAGCGATGTCGGAAATACTTTTGACATTCGCATTCGTCCGTGTTTCTGGCCGACAGATACAAGCATGGTCATCAAATGACTCAAAACGGTCATACCTTGACATTTGTTTCACTATAATTAACCATAGCCCCATAGGTCAGGACTAAGAACAAACAGTAATGTGTCGTTTCTTGGTTTATTGCATTGAATTTGAAGGCAACCTTACTAGAATCGTGTCTAGCTTTTTGTCCATTTCCTTGATTTTCTCACAAAGACGATTCAATCTAAAATCACAAAACTTTGTAATACCGAGATCCCCTTTAACAGCAGTTATCGGGATAACAACACCGTTTGTATTTAGTTTACCAACACAAATTCCAATACACACTAACTGATTGTCAGAGTCCTTTACGAACACGAAAGCACCAGAATCACCAAAGTCATTGAACAATTGAGTGCATAAAGATGATTCAGGTCTGACTTCTATTTGGTTTTTTAAAAGAAAAGTATACTCATTGCTGCCAAGTGTATACTTACGCTCAAATTTAATCATTCGGACAGTGGTATTTTCAAACTCAATATACCCTCTAGTGAGTGCGGTCGTCCGCCCATATTTAAAGACCGGTGTTTTCTTTTTTAGATCAGATGTCCCTAGAGTTCTTCCAGTTTCGAAACACATCTCTAGGATGAAAAAAAAAACAGTGATTACTTATATGATATTCAACATAAATACTATAACAGGGACATTGTCACGACAAATAATTGTAATGTCTTGTTGACTTCATGTGACTGTCAACGTTGATATTTTCTGCCTTAACTGTAAATTTTTCTTTATAAAAATGGTTGAAGGAACATGTACCATTACATAATGTCAAACATAATATGTTAAATCATTAAGAATATATAGGAATCTGGTGGATACAATTTGTTGATTTAGAAAGAAATTATGCAGTACAAAGTAAGGTATACAATATCTACTACATACTAACATAGTCTAATGATAAATATCTTATATAGATGTATTTTAGGTCGAGGTTTGGTAAAGTACCTGGTTCTTCTGGAAAAAAACCGGAATCAGGGGTTGCACCTTCTATTTTGAAAACAGCAATATCGATACCACTTGAATCTTCACTTCCAGTTCGGTAAACTGCTTCTTTCACAGGACCAAGCTTATATTCATCTTGTGTTGTGTTTGGATGGAAAACCATTGGCGACTCTTCTCTTGACCAAACTTTCTTTTCTCCTCTTAAATCATGTATCATTGCTTCGTCTAACACAACATGTGCACACGTGACACCGCATAATCCAAAGTCTTCATGGTAAAAGAAACCACCCAACGTTCCAAATGATTGAGTCCTATTTGATGTAATTTGGCAACCCATTTTGACAGGTTTGCTATACCTTTCTGACGGCAAAATTGTTCTCTGAAAAATACCTTCTCTAACATCAACTGGAATGCCATCTAAATTGTCTTCAAATTTATTTTCGTGCAGTGGAATTTTACCTTTTGCAATAACATATAAAACAATGCATGATTGGAAAGAAACAAAATGCTCGGATTGCCCTAAACTAAACCTTTCAGATCTAACATTACTTCCTGATATAGCAGATAGATATTGATGATTTCGTAGAAGTCGGTCAGAGTGCTTATTGATAACGCTTCCTAAATCTTCTAATTTAGAAAAGCATTGATTTGTCTCCAATTGATCTACTTTTTGTAAAACTTGTTCTGATTCTTTGCTACACGAATCAACACGAGTAACAAAGACATTGTAACCAGTCTTTTCAAGTTTGTCTTTGACCTGCAGATCGTCATCGATGTCCTTAGTAGTGATTACAACAAACACGATATCATCATTTGCATTTGTGTCGTAAGCCGGCCAAACGTGCACAATGGAGCTTGACATATTTTCTATGAACTTGCTTATCCGCTCACATTCTTCATAGATTTCATGTTTGTTTTTATCCGTTCTTTTCCACATCATGTTAAGTTCTTTCTGGTCTATCATAGATGGCTGTGCAGTGACTATAATGATAAATTGCAAGAAAAAAAACAACAACATTATAATACACGAAAGGTCGTTTATTCTGCTGCTGATTGAACATTGATTAGCATTGTCCCTACGTGAGGCGACAGTGATCAGCCCTTTCCACCAGTATAGAGGAAAACCAGCCTGTATATTTATACAGTCTGACCAGCTCTATACTGATGGCTAACTAACATAATCAAAGCACTAAATGTACTGATGGGGAGGCTATGACAGAATATTTCAGGCTTATAGTTTCTTTTCTTTTAACTTAAGATGTGCTATAATTCCAATTATTACAAAAATCATTTCGCCATTTATCGTTACTGATGTTTTTATCCCTATCGATCATGTACGTCTTACCATATCCCGCAAATAGATGAGAACATCGAAGCGTCAGTTCTATGAATTGTCTTATAAATAGCGTGTTTGAAACAACATTTTCTGTGGTAATTTTACAAGTGTTGTAAAATGAATACGAAATTCCTTATGCTGCCGATTTTTTAAAACACAAATATATAAGTTTTTGATTCTATTTATTCAAATTATTGTAAAAATTAATTACTTCAGGGAAAAATATCGTTTTCAAATTAAAGTTTCGTAAAATATGTGGATGAATCCCCAATGCTCGACTGCAAGTCATTCGTATATACATGCGTTTTATTTTGTTTTGGTTTTTTAAAGCTTCTTATGCTTTAAATTTTTCTTTTATTTATCTGTATCGAAAATTTGAATTTTATTACACGTGGACTATCAAATTATGATGCGTTGCCCTAGAATTGAATAAACTTTCTAATTACACAATACGGGGTCATTCATTTGATTGAAGACTGATCCTTGCATCTTTCTCTAAAATAATCATTGCCTTGTTCTGTTCCGGTAACAAAACATATTTGACAACATCTGACTTTCTGTCATTTAAATGTTCGCTACTTCCGATTCTTGTTGTTGTACCGAAACACATTCTTTTATTTGTGTTTTCTAATAAATTCGAATCTATAATCAGTTTAATGAGATCACCGCCGGGTGAACGACTACTAGGTACTTTGGTCATGTTTTTTACCCCAAATATTTGAATGTTTTATTGGGATTAAAACAAGCGTAGTTAACTAAACAACTGGTTGTATAGATCACTGACCTGTCTAGATTAGTGGATACATTAAAACTTTCACCTTAACAAAAGAGCACATATTCTTATTCAAATAAAAGGTCAGAGTAGGGATCTATCTATTGCCAGACCCATTGTTTTAAAAGATACTTTTATGTCAAAAGTTTGATTGATGAATTATTTGAGATGAGAATATAAGTATTGTTTTTTATTTTGCCATGTAAAATGTTTTCTTGTGCAGGGTCCTTACTGAATTTGTTGTTAAAAAGCGTTCTTTTTTTTCGGCGAAATGGTTCAGGAATATAATGTTTACAAACTATATGTTCATCACCATCAGTGAATTCTTAGTTAAATGTATGCAAATAATTTAGTAACAGCTATATTACATAGCGGTTTTGTGTGCGTTTTTGGCGTACAGCCTCCTACGTATACTAATAAGTTAGATTTTATTAGTTATAACGCAGACATGAATCAGTCTCTGATGTAAGCGACAGTTAATCATTATTTGTCTTTTTTAATAATATTTTAAGGATTATTAATTGATTATAACAACAAAGAACATTCATGATAGTGAGACTACGGTATTCTCTTACAATAATTCACAACGGCAACGTTCTACTTAATTACCCGTTATGCACAGTTGGTCGCTGCGTAGTAATTGGAAAATTGTGTTCAAAAATAAAAACAATATTTTGCCAAATAATTCAAACATTTATTCTGTACTTTACAATAATGTGTTTTGTTTTTAATTTTCCCAATATAGTAGTTAAGAGTTTAAGGGTTAAAGTATCAAAAGTATTTATGACGGACGCATGACTTATTTACAGCTGCAGTAAACGTGAGTAGTGATTTTAAAATTTAGAAAACGTTTAAACCAAGGGTTCTCTGAGAACTATAAACTTTACAAAAAGTAAGTATGATGGTTAAGAACAAAACATTCCTTTAACTTGTAAATAACGGTGATAAGTGAGGAGTCAGCTTTAAAACATCACGGTGCTATTTTTTTCACCTGATTACCGCGAAATTGGAGAGGCATAGCCTCCCCTAAAATCAAATGTCCTCAGAATCGATACTGGATTAAAAAAATCGAACAGGAAAAGAGTATTCATTGGTTATGAAATCATTTTCTGAATGTAGAAGTTTTGCACCGGACAAGCGTTTTCAATGACCTCTCAGTGACTTTGACCTACGACCTTGTGTGACACTGCTTCTAAAAGTGGTGAACATTTCTATGAAGTTTCATTAGAATTCCTCCATATCTTTATGAGATATGCGCTGGACAAAATTTCTATATTTCATTAAGTTTAGTGACCTTGGCCTGGCATGTAATAACCTTAAATACATGTTTCGGCCCCGTAGTCAAGATAATGACCATTTGTGTTTCCATCCCTCAATAAATTATGACTAAATGGTCCGAATACACATTTTCACATTTCTATCTGAATCCTATGTGTAAGCTTGACCTTGACCACAGGGACAAAATTTTACACAAAATAGAAATCCCTCAATTCATGTTTTTTCTCCGGACAATCATTTTTCAATGACCTTTAAGTGTGACCTTGACCTTTGACCGAGAGACCTTATTTATATGCGCGACACAGCTTCTCATAGTGTTGAACAGTTCTATGAAGTTTCATTAAAATTCCTAACCGCCTCCGTGGTCGAGGGGTTAGAGTCAATGACTTCTAATCCAGTTACCTTTCTGGCGTGGATTCGATCCCCGGGAGATGCTTTATTAGCTAAGCTCGGAAGAAGGTAGTCTAGTACTGGTGTAACTCTCCAGGAACGATGGTTAGGAAACTACCGCCTATATGACTGAAATACTGTTGCAAAAGGGTAAAATTAAACAAACAAAACAATTCAAATTCCTTGATGCATGTAGGAGACATCTCCGGAAAAAATTGGACGCCGCCATTCCGCCAGACCAACAGCCAGGTGGGGGGACTATAAGACGGCTCGTTTTTGAAACAGGCCTAAAAAACACTTCGAGAAAACTTTTTTATTTTATTATTTCGTGAAGTTGGCTGCTTAGCGGCCTCAAATTTTATGTTGTAGTCGTTTGTCAAAGAAATTATAACGATTCTGAGTTAAGTTTTAAAGACATATCTTATCATTTAAAAAGAAAAAAAAATCATATTCAGAATGATTTTTGTTTTCCAGCGGCCTGGTAGCCCCACATTTTAGTATTCTATAACTGTTATAAAAAATGGCACCTTCTGAAGTTCTTAAAGCATTTCTTGATATTTAAAAAGATAAATCTTTTTAAGAGAATTTAAGGATTTTATCATTTTAATTAGCGACCTAAAAGTTGAAGAAATGTTAGGAAAAAAATAAAAGTAGATATAAAAACTTAAGAAACTATCTTGTTATAAAATCACGTTTTGTGCAGTTGGCGCCCTAGCGGTCGAGCGGCTTATAATTTAAGAGTAGAAATGTTATAAAAACAATAAACGCATTTAATGGAGTTCTTAAGACAATTCTTGTTTAAATTTAAAGAATATATAAAAAGAAGAATAACAAGAGGGTCATGATGGCCCTAGATTGCTCCCCTGACCCATCAACAACATGTTTGGGCAGTATGACCTAGCTTTTGACCCCAGGTGACCCATATTCAAACTTGACTTAGAAATCATCAAAGCAACCTCCTGACAAATTTCCAGAATATTTTGATCAAGACTGCAGCCACTGGTGTGTTAACAAGATTTTTCTATTTCTATCTCCTGTGACTTAGTTTTTGACTGGAGATGACCCATATTCAAAATTGATCTAGAAATCATCAAAATAATCTTCCTGACCGATTTTCAGGATCATATTTGAATAAAAAATGCAGCCACTAGAGTGTTAACAAGCTTTTTTCTATTTCTAGCTCCTGTGACCAATTTTTTGACTTGAGATGACCCATTTTCGAACTTGACCAAGAAATAAAACAACCTTCCTAACCAATAGTCAGGAAAGTTTGATCAAAAGATGACCCATCCTAGTTGACCCATCTTCGTACTTGTTCTAGAAATCATCAAAACAACATTCCTGACAAATTTCTAGAATATTAGGATAACAATTGCCGCCACTAGAGTGTTAACAAGATTTTTCTATTTTTAGCTCCTTTGACCTAGTCTTTGACTAGAAATAACCCATATTCAAATTTGACCTAGAAATTATCAAAACAACCTTCCTGACTGATTCCAGGGAATTTGGATCAAAACTGCAGCCACTAGAGTGTTAACAAGCTTTCTCTATTTTAAGCTCTTGTGACCTAGTATTTGACCCGAGATGACCCATATTCGAACTTGATCTTTATTTTATTGAGACAAACATTCTGAAGTTTGATGATGATCCAATCAAAACTGTGACTGCTAGACTGTTAACAACCCCATTGTTGACGACGCACGACGCACAACACACAACGCAAGACAACGGACGCCGGACATAGACCCATCACTTTAACTCACCTTGACCATTTCGTGGTCAGATAAGCTAAAAAATACTTCGATATTTTTTTCTTTTTTATCATTTTTGTGAAGTTGGCGGTCTAGTAGCCTTAATTTTAATGTTGTGGAAGTTTGTCAAAGATATTAAAACGAAGCTAAATTAAGTTCCAAAGACATACCTTGTCATTAAAAAGTTACATAAAAAGAAAAACAAGAGGGCCATGATGGCCCTATATCGCTCACCTTAAGGAATAGATCTTAAAAGTATTTTTCTTTTTGGTTTATAAAATTCTTTAATGTCATTAAAAGGTTAGTGTCAAATGTAAAGTTTTTTGGCCAACAGCAACAGGAATGCAAACAAGTGTATAGAAACCTATTTTTTCTTTTCTTTAAAGTACAGGTTGCTAAAAAATACACTCCCTGTAGTGTGTTTACATCATAAAAATTTTAACAATGACATCAT